AATGCATAAATGTGCATCTTACCTAACCTCCTGGATCCAAGCAGGTATGGACGCTTTTTTTTCCTTCTCTTTGGTTTTAAATCAAGCCTTTAATTTGTAGATGACTTTAATAAATTTGTTATGAAGAAAAAATTTGATGATCTCAAAAACTTTTCAAGAAACACTGTATGAAGCAAATCTATGAAGAAGACCATGAGGAATCTATATGAAAGTCTATGAGGAATCAAGAAGAGACCAGACCATTATCCAACAGTATCATTAATAAAGGTAACATCTCAGACTCATGAGACTAATCATAAGGCAGAATTATTTGCAAAAAGTTTTTCTTTTACTTCAACTCTCAAACTTTATGGCCATACTCTTTTTTCCATTCCAATTAAACAGGTTAATCCATTGTTAGATATTCAAATCACTCCAGCTTCGGTTGCTAAAGTCATATCTCAATTAAAATCTTTCTGTTATTAGCAAGGTCTAATAACAGAAAGATTTTAATTGAGATATGAGTTAGGTCATAAGTATCTCACATCCCATCTTGAATTAAATAACTTACTGTCAGACAATCAATGTAGTTTTCGATCCTCTTGCTCTACCGCACACAATGTCTGAAAGATTTTATTGTATACTAGATGGAGGTGGACATATTAAAGCTAAAGCTTTTAACAAAGTTTGACATGCTGATCTTCTTCATAAGCTTGTTTTATATGGTATATCTGGGAAAGTTTTAGAGATTATAAAAAAACTGAGAATAATAGAGCTTAGCGTCAGACAACACTTTTGGATTTTTTGCAATAATAAATAGCTGTTTGTTCCCAAGAGAGTTATTTTTTTTGAAAAAGATTTTTAAAAATGATTATTGTGAGATTTAGCAGCTGCATAAGAAGTTGAAAACCATGGAGTAGAATGAGGCTTGACTTAGAAGCTTTAGAAGGAAGAGGCTATATAACCTTAACAATGCTCACTAAAAGCATTAACAAGGATACCATCCATGCGCAACATAACACTGTTAATACTGATACTTTACAGCTGTTGATGAAATTAGTCTGTCTGAGAGCCACCACAATTTTTACCACAGAGACCTTACTACCAGCTGGCCTCAAAACCATTAAACAAAGTTTTAGAGTTGTGCCCTCATTAGAAGATAATAGGAAGAGTTGCATAGTCACTTTCAAGGAGGCACAAGCAAAATCTGTCAAAGTCAAGAAGATCCAGCTTTCATTTTAGGCTAATTAACTGAATTATTCTGCTAAAGTCTTTTTCTAGGAGGCCTTCTAAAAGACATTAGCTAGATGCAGTTAACATCTACCCAAGATGAGTATTTTTATTGAGACACTATCTATAGCCTTTACTTAACCAAGAGCCCCAAGAAAGTTAAGTTTTAGACTGGATGTAGTTAATATCTGCCCAAGTTAAGTATTTATCAAGACACCATCTCTAGCCTTTACTCAACCAAGAGCCCTAAGACTAGGGAGTTTTAAGTTGGAGTTTATTTCTTCTAGCCTTTGCCTTAAAAAAAAGGCAATCCCTACAATGCACCAGGGCATGGGGCAAGTAGTATTGGGTTACTTTACAGAAGCAAGGTGGTTGTGATGATCCTAAACCTGACCTGACCTGGAGTATTAAAAAGAAATTACTTCTTGTAAGCAGTACTGTAAAACATTGACAGGGGTATTTTAGAAATGTATTAGGAAAAACATTATATTTAACAGAATACTAGAGATTAAGGTGAATGTATAGTTTTATAGAACTCAGGCATGATAGATATTAGATAGTATTGATGACAGGAGGTACACTTCTGCCAGCCTTTGCTTTGAAAGCGAATCCTACAAGACTGCTGGACATGGAACTGATTGCACTGGATATTACCAATGGCAGGGTGATCATGATGACCATATGCCTGACCTGACAATTAAATTTAAATTAATCAAATAGACATTATGTAAAAATGATATAAACATGTTAGTTATTACACAGTGTAGCAGAAATAATTTGTTTTAAAAAATGACTACCAGAGACAGTTTATTTTTGAAACCAAGATATAAAGAAATAATTTTTTTTTAGAAGTATTTTAAAATAAATCAAAATTCATTGGAAAAATTAATTTATCTATAAAAAATTTCTTATTGTTTAATAATGGCCACCAAGGAAAGTTTAAAACTCCTTCTATTTGAGTGGGTTGTCAACTTTATGTGGTCATAACTTTTGAATGCTAAAAGACTTTTTAATAAAAAAACTTAAAGCGTTATCACTTTTTGTTATGTTTTTAATTGCGTTTAAAATAAATTACTTAAAAATTTATCTTTTGAAAAGTTTTATTACAGTTACACAAAACGCTTTTACAAATTACTTTTAAGGATTGTTTAAAGAATGAACAAATTTTATTTAAATTACTAGAAAATGTTCTATATATTATTTTTTAAGTTGTATAAACGTTTATTTTTTCCATTAATTTAAGATATATTCTTAAATTAATGGAAAAAATTTAAATTTATTCGCCATTTCTGCCCAAGCCTGTTGTATTTTCATAAAGTAAATGAAGTTCCATTGGAGCAAGGATTTCAATAACTTTTATGTCATCAGGCAGATCATCTAGGGATGGTTAACTCAAATAATTTAAGATGCAGCTGAAAACTTTTTTTTTAAAATCTTTACAGGAGGCTTTGTAAGCATTAGCTAATGAACAAATACTTCCTAGAGTTCTGAGCTCACCATGATTTTCAAAATCTTGCTTTTTTTTTTTGGTAATGTTACACTAAGAGCAAGGATGTGTTGATGCTGCACTACAATATATTGGTCTATTTTATATCAAAACCACAAAAGTATTTCAAGCCATTAAAATAGCTTTAAAGTAGTGATAATTTTCTCATGATTTGAATGAGATTCAGCCACATTTTCTGTTAAGTCAATAATAAACAATTTTTTTTTTTTTTATTTTATTTTAATTCACCTCCTCAAGGCCGAGAAGGCCACTACAGGCGAGGAGGCTACTTTACGCCACCATCTGTATTTTTCATTACCTATTCCTTCGTAATAGCTAAACTTGTTTATTTAGACATTACATTCTGTCACTTTTTCTATAATATTTAAACAAATTTTTAAAAATCTGCCTCCATTGTCAATGCCTACCTTTAGAATGTAATCTTTTGACAATTTTCTCTTCTTTATTACTGTCTCAACAAGTCCTTTAATGTTTTTACAATAAACCAATTGTCTGGAATCTTTTTCAAAAATTAATTCTTTAACATCAAAATAATCATTTAAGAACGTATCTTCTTCACTTCTTCATTAGGCCTCTTTTCTTCTAAATATGCTAAGAACATCCACTAGTGTTTTTAAATTTGTATATTTCCAAAATTGAGATTTATTTAACTGGAAAAAGAGCTTTTATAGAGCTTTTCGTTTGTTTAGCGGCAATGGTTTTATCTTTGGCTGCAAGCTTGATTTTAGGTCTCTTTTAAAATTTTCTTTTTAATACTTTAGTGCATTGAAGTTTGGCACCTTGTCTATCTTTATATTAAAAGAAATTTTTATCTATATTTCAGTTTTTACATTTTAAATAATTTAAATAAATATCTAAACTTCAAGTTTGAAATATTAAATCAAGAATAAAAGGTTTGCCCTACCTTAGTCAATTTCTTCTGTTAATTTTTTTCTTCTTGTTGTGAGAGTGCACGGGTAGAGTAACCCCCTTCCAATGACAACTCTGCACCCTTTTAGATATTTTTATTGTTCTAGGTGATGATGTCTTAACTCTTCCCAACTTGATTCTCCCTCTTGATTTTTCAAGATTTCTTGATTTTTCAACTTGATTCTTCATCCTTCAGATGTTGATCCTGGAGTAATTGTAGTTCAAACAACTTTAAAAATTTCACAAACACAGAATGATTAATTATTGGTAAGATTACTCACTTTGACATTTGAGAAATCTCAAATGGGTTTACTCAGAATTATGTTTTTAATCTTCTTTTTGAAGTCTTTATAATGCTTTCCTACATTTAGTACAAAATAATAAATAATATAAATTTTTTTGCGGTATATCACAAGGAAGTATACAAAACAAAGGAATGTCGTTTGTACATTTAACCTGTAATTTAAACGTTTTTTAAATGTAATTAATGTATTGTTTATAAAATTAGGGCCCCAAGGTCCAAATAATTGTTAAGGAAGGGAGCAATAGTAGTAATTAAAAAAAAAGCTCAATTATGAGTTCAATAAAATTCTCTGTAAAATTCTCATTTAGTAAAAAAATATTTTAACATTTAAATGTTACGACCTTGTAAAGTTGACAACCCATTCAAACTTTCCTTGGTTGCCATTTTTAAATGATAAGAGATTTTTTTTAAAAAAAAATTAATTTTTCCAATGAATTTCAATCAATTTTAATATAATACAAAAAAAAAAAATTACATTTAGAACAGTCTGTTTCGATTTTTCAGGTGTATATTGTTCCCACACTCCTGTCACTAATATTTTTTAAAACATTCTTATTTAATACCAGTGCCAATATAACAAAATTAAAAGTTTACACCATCTCTTGAAATTACCTGTTTTGAACACCAAAAATCCATGAACTGCCTGTTTAACCTCATTTTTTTTGAAAAATGTTAACAGAATATTTTCAAAATTTAGATCATAATTATACAAAGTATTGTGGTTTCAAAAATGCAAACTGTTTCTGGTGGAGATTTTTTTTCAAATAAATTATTTCAGCTATGGTGTGATTACTTTATTATTTTACAACAACACTCTGGGCTGCTTTTTGTATAATATTCTTATTAGTTAACCACGCAATTGTTTCTATAAAATTAAATTAAAGAATATATCTTAAATTAATTCTTAAAGATATCTCTACCAAAATTTACATTGTTCACATTGTTCTCACATTGTTCTCCTCCCCCTCTTTCCTACCTTCCTGAATATTGGCCTGTTAAAATGTTTGATGATAAATGCTTTGTTTTTTTTGTTTTTTTTGTACTTCTAATACAAGTTTTTTTTAATTTTAGAATGAGGCAAGAAAATTAAATCATCAAGAAGTTGCAGCTGAAGACCAGCAAAAAAAACTTCCAAAGAATTTTGAAGCACGTCGTAAAAGGGCAGAATGGGAGTTAAATGATAAAGCTGCACGTCAGGTATAAACAGTTTACGTATTTTATACTTTCTACACCCTACCAGCTGTGGTACAGTGGTAAGAGTGTTGACAGATCAAAATATCCAATGTTTGACTTGGAAAAAATATAACGACATTTATGAGAAAGGTAATAGAAAGCTTTCTCACTAAATACTGTTCCATTATGCGGCAAGTCTAGTATCATCTTGGAGTTTTTTAGTTAGTTAAATTAAATTTCATGGAATGCGCGTGTTCTTTAAACCAATCAACAGCTAGCTAGCTCATGCATGATTACACGGAAGATGATGCGTTCTAGTAATTATGTTGATAGCTGATCAAGTTTTGCTTGACACTATGAGCACTGAAAACTTTGTTTAATAGTGCATTTCATAGGTGAGCGAAACGGTTGTTAAAAATGTTTGTTGAATTGAACAAGGCAATTTTTGTCCATTTCACAATGAAAGCGCTTGCAATGACCGTAGCTTGGTGGGATGTTAATTGGAGCAACATGCCAGCTAACTGAGTTAATTTTGTTCTTGATTTTGTATTTTTGGATGAGGTCTCGGTGTAATTGTGTATTGAGTAGTGAGGTGAGTCTCAGTTTGATACATCTCGTCTCATAGTTAAAGTGCTTCATTTCATGTGGTATGTTGGTAGACCGATGGATCGGATGTGTTATATGGTATTTGTCTTTTTTGAGGTTCTGGCGCCAGGCAGTAACTGCAAACTCAAGATGTAGTTCTATATAGGTGGTGTAAAGCTTTTTCCATATTTTGGTGTCTCTGCTGATGAAAGTGTGTTTTAGCATTCCAAAGACATTATTGACCTTGGCAGCGGCAATTTTGGCTTGATTCTCATGCATTAAGTTGGTAATTTGAATGCCTGAACTTGAATTGACTTGAGTTGGCATTATACTCGTTCATTGTGTAAATGTGTGGTAAAACATTTTATTTGTTGATGTGCATAACCTTGCATTTCTTGATGTTGAATTCCATCAACCAGGTTTGAATCCAAGATACATTGCTATTCATATCAGCTTGTAGAGGAGCTTTTTCTTCAGCGGTTTTGACGACATTTAGAATTTTAGTTTTAGTGTTCAGGTAAGTTGTTGATGAAGATTATGAAGAGCATAGAACCTGGCACTGAACCTTGCAGAAAGCCACTGGTGACTTGTTCCCACTTGGATGAGGTGTCATGGAGAAGATTGATCTATTTGAAAGAAAAGTTTCAATTCAATGTTTTTGTGAGGGACTTTGTTGAAAGCTTTGGCAAAGTCAAGAAAGAGCATGTCTATAGGAAGTTTATGAGATACACTGTAGGTTTAAAAATCTTAACGCAGGTTTTTTATTGATGAAGCCATGTTGACAATTGGCAATAAGTTTGTTGGCTACTCTATGATCTTGTCTTTTACCACTTTTTCCATTATTTTGGATGGTACAGAAGTGATAAAGATTGACCTGTAATTTGCTGGTTCAAGTTTGGAGCCTTTTTTAAACAGTGGCGTTACATTTGCCAAGAGCCGCGACTTTGGGACTATGCCTTGATCTAACGATTTCTGAAATATAGCAGCGAGTGGGGTAACTGCTGCATTGGCACATTCTTTAAGCACCAATGGGCTAATATGGTCACTTCCAGTTGAATTGTTGGCATTGAGAGCAGATAAGTGTTTGTGAGTGGAATCATAAGTGAAGATAAAGAGATTTAAGCAGTTGTGTGTTTGATGAAGGGTGGTAAAAATTGATCTGACAGTTCAATTGTGAATCATGACTGAAACTGATTGTTTAGTATATTGCAGTCTGCAAAATTCAAAAGATTTCAGGTTGGCACAAGCATGCCAACCTTAGCCGACATCAGTTGACAAAAAAAGAATTTGGATTTTTTGCTTTCTGTTAGGATATGAATGGATTTAATGGAAGCCTTAACTTCTATCAAATTAAAAAGGTTTTCTAATTAATGTTTCTTCTCCACATGTGTTTAACATAACTATACCAAGATTAAACTTTATATAGAATAGACTTTCTGATCTTAAATAATATTAAAAAAAACCGGAAACATGTAAATGAACAGTTTTAACTAATAAAATAAATTAAAATTAGATTTTAAAACTTAATAAGATAATAATTGCACTTAAATTGCAATTAAAAAAACATGGGAACAACACATATTTAAAAAGTAATATTTTTTAACTTTTAAATAAACCTTGCTATGCTTGAATAAATTTGAGAAAGAAAGAAAAAATGAATGAATTTTTGTTTTAATAAAACATGTCAAACTTGAAAAGCAATTAGTTACAATAAATAAATTATAAACTTATATTTAACGAATATTATATTTTTTACATGTATTTCAACAAAAGGTATTCAGATCGGCAGTTGTATGCCATCCTAAAGCAAAGATAGGTCAGCTTTTGCGCCAGCATTGCCGAATGTCGACCTAAATTTTTCAGATTGATATTGACAATGAATGCTCGGTTGCTGCTTATTTTCCCATGGTAAACGCATATAGTTATTTGATTGCTGACAGCGCGTTTGCTATCTAGCCTGAATTCTGATATCTTTGCTATCTAAAGTGAACTTTTGCCCACTGTGCTATGCTTAGCACAGTGGGCCAGAATTCACTTTTACTGGACAAAATTCATAACTAATTTAATATTGGAGCTATATTCACTAAAATTAGCATGAGTACTTATATGATGTCTGCGCTTTTTATGAAAGTATATTTTTTTATTTCGTTGCTATGGATACCTTTATTTTGCTTAGCAACAACCTATTTTTGTTATCTGCATACATTTTATGAGCCCTATATTCCCTAAATTTGGCATCAGTATGAATATGAGATCACACATTATAAAAGTAATAATTTTTTTAATTTCGTTGCTATGGATACTTATATTGCTCAGTTACCAGATACTTTCCTTAGTTACAAAGATGTAAGTTGATATTTGAATATTCTATGGGATTTTTGACCCACTTATAATGAATAATAATTGATTTTTGAGGTTAATAATGTTTTTGCTATAATAAAAACAAAAAAATAGTGCAAGAAAGGATTGTCAATTTTAAATTAGATTAAAAAATTATAAAACAATAACATCGTTTAAAGATTGTTTAAATAATTGTAAAACATTTGAAGGAAATGCTTTATGATTTGTTCGGGGTAATGTTGATTTACGCAGTGATGAAATAACAGGATCACTGGAAACTAGGAGTCTATTGATAAGATCAGTATTTGTTGCTTTTCTAGAAGTTTTTAGGCTGAAATTTTTGCAATGAGATTTGAAGTCTTTATTTCTAACTTCTTGAGCTTCCTCTGACATAAGTCCGATGGGTAATGTAAGGTTTTTAATTATGTCATTTCCATGTATCAATACTTTGTGAACTGATTGAGCCATGTAATACTATGGATAAAGGGACACATAGTCTAACAGCATCAAAACAATTATTCTTGAATTTTAAGCTGTCTATTTCATATCCTTAAGAGAGTGTTACCAAGATAATGTAAAATCTGAATATAAAATCTGAATATATTAACAAGTCCCATTTTGTTCAAAAAATCAGTCTGAATCTTTTGTTTAGCTAAAGATGAATTTTCTTTGTGTTCTTTAGATCTTGCTTGCCGCTTTCTTGTTTCTTTTTTATATGCAATGTGCAAAACCATCTCAAAAAATTGAATCCATGCATGAAGAATGGAAAGTCCATATTTGAACTCTCTGTTAGTTAATCTATATTAAAGGTATCAAGACTATTCATATTTTTTGGAGAGACAACACATAGTAAGCAGCATTGGTATGAGTTAGTTTTTTCAGATAATATCGTTTGAGCTTTCCCATTAATCATTGTAAGTTCATTAATAGAATTCACTTCAATAAAAGAACCGCAAACCTCTAATGAAATCATGCTTTCTATCTCACTTTTAATGTACTGATTTTCTTCGATCACAGATTTCTTGGATTCCGTTTTGCGAGCAAATTTTATTGGTCTACTTTTAATACGCTCTAAATAACGACTTTTGATTTCTCCGAACAGGCACCTTTTTGTTACTGTTGTTAAATCCAGTCAAATTCAATGGGGCTAGACAAGTTATAAATAATAATTCTTCACACTTTAAATCTTCGTTCATGTAAGGTTCTGTTAAAACTGGTTTATAAATGCTTTGGCCAGTAGCACCATCAAAACCAGTATTACACGTAAGTGTCATTGTTTTTATTGCTTTGCTATTCATTATCAAGTGCCTCAGCACAAGTTCCTGAACTGCACAGATTCTTTGCAAAGTATGAATCATTAAATCTTTTAAAGGAACTGAAGCTGAATAGTCCTCCACTGTTATATTTGCAGGATAACATTTCAATTTTGCATCTCTGACATCATTGTAAGCAGGGTAGAGGGTATATATTCTTTCTCCAAGGCTCCGCTTCTAATCAATTGATAGGAAGCTTTTGTTAGACTGGCATCAATTATTAAAACCAGTGCTTTGTCTGGTGAATATATAGTTGCTTTATCTGTATTTGAAATATTTAAAAAGTTCTTGGCAGCACTAACAATAGATTTATCACTAAATTTTTTACTAGCAGCAAAAAATAATTTACTGGATGAATGGGATTCATTTAAGCAAAATACGCGCCGTTTTTTTAGTTTTATTAGAACTATTATCAAATGCAACTGGTTTTCGACCACGTATACTTGCAGTTGGTTTGTTGTTGTTTTTTTTTGACAATTAAATATTCATTATACCAATTTACAAACTTCTTTTCAAAAATTTTAACAGTACAGTTTGCAGATTTTCACTTTATTTTATACAAGTAAACAAATCGTTGAACAGCATGTCTAAAAATCATTATCTTTAAATTCAGCAAATTTTGGCTGAATAAATTTCAATATATCTTCAGTAATATTTTGTTTTTAAATACTAAGATGGTTTTTTTGGAGAAAATTATGAATGTCTAAGTTTAATAAAGCCATATCTAAATAATTCTTATAAAAAATATTTTGTATTTAAAAGTTTAATGTTACAATATATATGCCGCGTGCACTACTAATTCTTGTTAGTAATTAAGTTACTACAAGTGTTAGTAATTGAAATTAAATTACTGTTAGTGTTAAATATTAAATTACTGACAACTACCAAAAATATGTTGTTTATATGCAATACAAAGTAAGGTAGCCATAGCAACCAAAAAAAAACAACCTTATAAAAATTGCGAATCTCATTTTAATACATACTGTTAAAACAACGTTAATGTAAAAATGAGCTGTTACTATGCAAATTTCAGTACCATAACAACCAAGTTCAAACATATATAAAATCTAAATGGGGATTTAAGGGGAAAAACAATCAATTAAAACTTGATTGAAGCATCATATAGCTTAAATAAATATATGACAGCACATGGCAAAATATGGTAATTATTAGTTATAGTGCGACAAAAAATAAATTTCATGAAATTTTTTTTTTTTAGTCTGTGATTTTCAAAGTATAACTGAGATAGCATGCTATGACATATTTGTTTCACACATTGGTTTTTCTTATCTCTAAATACTCTAGAATAACATGTACTAATTATTTGTTTAAAAAGTTGTAGATGTAATTGAAATATAACACAGCGTTAATGTCACCGTAAATTACTTATTTAAATTTTTTTTTTAACTTCAATATTCAAATGCTTAGAGTCCTGGTAAACTAAGGGATTTAATATAAATAAATTATTAATAAATTTCTCCTAATATATGTAGATAGTAAAATTAAATAAGTTTTCAAGATTAGACAACTAAAATTTTTCCTCATTTTGTCCACCTACTGGCCCACTGTGCATAGAGACATTTAGGGTTTCATTTATTGTTAGTAATTTTGTGTTCAAATTCTTTAATCGAAATGCAGGAAGCTTTTTTGACGAGGTTTCAAGAGAGATTGTACTCTCTGACAAGAGGAACGATTTGTCATTTGCTGTTGTGGTTTAAGTACTAATGTTTTTTTTATAGTTTGGTTAACAAGAGTAGTATGCTAGTTAGCTAAGGGTGCCTGTGTTTGGTCAGTTTGGAGGGGGTGTACAGAATGAATTTGTGGTAGCATTCAATAAAGTTGTTGCAGAAGATATGGTACCATTCATTGGATTTACTTTCTTGCTTTGTTTGTACTAGTTATGTTTCTTATAAATGATTGCTGTAAACGTTTTTTGCTAATTGGTGTTGCCATGTCAGAGTGTAGTGGCCTTGTGGAGCACTACCAAAAGGTGGCACACTTTGAAAATTTGGGGTCATTTTACCAACAAAACATTCCATCAAAATCCTTTTGACTGGTGATTCTTGATATGTTTAGATGCAAAAATATGGTAAAATTAAAATAAGAGTTTGATGGCTACAACTAGTTTTGCTGTCATTATTTTTTGATATTTTTCTAAAATATATTATATTTTCTATCTTTACAGAAAGGAAGCTAAGTATAGAGAATATGTTTTAAAGATTAAAATTCACTCTTAATTTATTGAGTTCATCTCTTGGCTCAACACATCTCTAGCGCTTACTCGTTCTTAAACCTTAAAAAAAATTGGAAACTGTAAAACAGAAAACAAAATTTCAAAAATGCCCGCGTTTGAAAAAGATCACAATGAGAGCAGGAAAAAGATTTTAGAAGCTTTTTTCAAAAAATATCAACTTTGCCGATGACAGAGTTACAATTGGAATTTGCATGGCTTGTTGTTTCAAGATAAATCAATCAGGTGACAAGGAATCAGTACAAAATGCACATTAAAAACAGTTTTCAACTGCACTGCACATTAAAAACAATTTTTAGAATAATTGTAAAATCACATTATTTAACGATTAACAATTTTTAGGTTCCTTATCAGCATCTCAGCAACTCTTTCAAACACTTTTAAGCACTCAAGAATTGGTTGCCATACAAAAAAATTCAGAACTTTCAAACACAGGCATGAGGAAACTTGGATCTGCTCTCAATCAATCGCCTTACTTGACTGGTTGAGGCAATTTTTAAAAAAGCTTGCAGACTATAGGAAAATTTTGTAAGAAAATTTTACATTTGTTTTTACTTCAAGTTGTTTGAAACTGACAAGTATCATGTTGTTCATTGCCACAACTTACATCAACTAAAAGAAGTCATTAGCATCTCAAGATCCCTTGATCAGGGATCCATCCTTAAGCTTGGAATAGATAGCGGTGGCTCATTTTTAAAAATGAGTTTGACCTTGCTTGACACTAAGTTAGATGAATCTGAACCTCACAGTCCTATTCAAAAGTCTGTTAAGTTTTGTTCTCAAGAAGGCCTCAAAAGCACTGGTGTTAAAAAGCAATTGATTGTGGCAATTGCACACAATACTCCAGTAACATTAAAATTAAAAAATTTTTTTTGATCTCATCCAAGTAAACAAAGCTTGCTCACTAAGCCCCTTGATCATCTCATATGATCTTTATTGGCAAATATCATGTGTGGAATTAAATCGCATGCCAGCAAGCACCCATGTTGTTGTTGTGAAGTTGAGTCAACAAAACTCTTTGTGTGTGGTGAGATGAGAACCTTTGGAAAAATCAGAAAACATTTTCAGGACTTTCTCAACATCGGAGGATACACAAAGAGTGCCAAAGCATTCCAAAATGCTGTGCATCCTCTATTTTTTCCTTTTAAAGACCAAACAAGTGTTTTGGAAGTGATTCCACCAATGGAATTGCATTTGCTCATTGGTTTTGCATTTACTCATTGGGTTTGTAAGAAATCTTGCTCAGATTGATTGATTGAGACAGTTGATTGACTTGCTTTACTTCATATTCCTCTTCTGCCTTACCATAGGGACATTACAATGGCAATGACTGCATGAAGCTGTTGAGAAAAATAGATGGATTGAAAATTTTAGCTGAGTCTGAGAAAGCAAAACAAACATTGGATTTTTACAACTGTTTGGGATTGTTCATAAGTGTTGTTTCTGCTTGCTTTAGCTGTGTCTTGGATCTGGAATATGAGTTAAAAATCAAAAAATTCAAGACAAGTTACCTGAAGTTGCAAATTTCAATTACACCAAAAGCTCATGCAATCTTTTTCCATGTGCCACAATTCTTCAAAAAAAACCATACGGCACTTGGGCTCTTCAGTGAACAGACAACATTACCCCAACAAACTTTTGAACTCTATTTTGCTTAATTTTAAAATTTTAAAATCTAGAATTAAAATCTCTTCAAGATTTTAATTCTAGATTTTAAAATTAAGCATTTTGAGATTGGCTTAACATGTACTTTCTACGATTCAAATGGTTTTGATGGAAAGTGTTTTGGTATTATGACCCAAAATTTACAGGGTGTGGTAGGCCAAAATTAATGTAGCTTATTTGATTGGCTCTTTTGCTAAATATGTGATCTAGCATGTTTTTTAATAGACTGTTGGCTTGGATAAAGGTGGGATCAATAATGTGCTGGTGTAGATCTAGGTTGAATAGGATTTCAACTAATTTCATGCCTAAACTTGTTTCAACACCAGTGTTATTGATCTAGTTGTCAATCCATTTGACGTTTGGGAAATTGAAGTCACTAGTGATTGCTAAACCATTAAACTTTTTGTTGACCATGGACGTTTTCGCATTGGAGAGTTTTCACTATATCATCAAAGACCAAAGCGTTGTTGAGGTAGACAATAAATGCAACCAATTAGAAGAGATTCATGTGGATGTTTACGTTCCAGTCAGAGCTGTTCCAAGATTTTGCATTGAAAATCGTTGTGTAATTGAGAATGGTCAATTTAAACACCACACTTTCAAAAAAAAGATTGAATCTGCTAAGTGCAATGGAACTTAATAGTATTGAAAACAATTTTTTTTCAATTTTGTATTTTTGTAAGTATAAGCATTCAACACCGTCTTAATCACATTTATATTTCGTATCATAAGTAAAAGAATGTAACAGTAAATGTCTTAATCACGTTTATATTTCGTATCATATGTAGAAGAATGAAACAGTAAATGTCTTGAAAATTTGACATAAGAAATAAGCATGTAAATTTAAATAATCATATGTATTAACATTTATTATATATATTTAAGAGTGCACTTGAGAATGGTGAGAATTATGATGAAATAAAGCTTTTAGAAGAGACAGCTGATGACATCGACAGATTTGAGAGAAAAAAAAGAAAAAAAAATAATCAAGATCCTGGATTTATAGGTGACTTCTTGAGATTATTATTATTTTGTATTTAAAAAGTTAAAAACTTTTTATCACAGTTTCTTATTTAAGAAAGTATATTATCTTCAAATTGTGATGTAAATTGTGATATAAACACATATATCTTAATTTAAGTTAATACATAGGTTTACTCACAGCTACTGTGTTTTATCATAAATTAGTAAAGTTTTATAATATTCAAAAAAATTTTGGTGAAATAGTTCATCATTCACCATTAAATAGGATTTTAGTTTTTTCTTATAATTAATTTTGTTTTTTTCATCACAAATGATATTTGGAAGTATATTCCAAAGTTTAGGACCATAGTGGGATAATGCTTTATTACCAAAACGATTACTTCATTTTGTTTCCTTTAATTTTAGTGTTCATTTTGACATCAATTAATGAATTAAATTGCATAATGATTGCATAACTGGCGCTTCCAGAATAATAAATTTTTGCATTATTAAAAGGAGCTTGAAATAGATTCTTTCTCTAATTTTCAGCCTATGTAAATTGTTAATATCCTGGTCATTTACTCGATTTTCTATTCTGGTTTTAAATACTTGTTTTGAACAGACTGCAGTTTTTTTAGTAGTATCTTTTCAACTCCAAAGTAGAGGGAGTTGCAATAATCTAGCTGTAAAAATATTAGTGAACATACTATAGTGCACAAATTTTTGTGTGTTGAAAATTGTTTTATTTTGGATATTTTGCTCATTATATTGTAGCAGTTTTTAACAATCTTATTTATTTTTTTGTCAATTCACTTACCCAAGGCCAGGAAGGCCACTACAGAAGAGTAGGCTACTTAAATGTGGTTGCAACCCTTGCTAAATTTTATAACTCTGAAACATGAACCTTGGGGAACAAGGCTGCTGCGTGGAGTAACAAGTTCAATGCGGTACTACCTGGGATGTGGTGGGGATCAAATTTGGAGCCTCTTGCTTATGAAACGTTCACTCTACCACTACACAAACACTGCATTTATTTGTGTTTTTAAAGATAATTCATTGTCAATTATCACACCTAAACTTTTTTGTGGAGTCAATAAATCTAATACATTCCTAGTAATAAAAGTACCTTTAATTATAACTTTTTGATTGCTAAATGGTGCCACAATTAGTATTTTTGTTTTTGATTGGTTAATACATATTAATGATTTACTTATCCATTTAGATATGTATTTAAAGACATTTTGGTATATCCAGCACTAGTACATTATATTGAAATGAAGGAAGGAATACTTTTAGAGTTTAATGATTATGTTTAAATATTTGTATAATGGTCTCATATAGATATTAAAGTGTTTTAAACCCAGGACTGTACCTTGCAGTGCTCTACATTTTACATTTTGGTTTGTGGAATAGGAGTTTTGAGTTCATGGAACTAAAAATAATTTGAACCTTTTGTGAGTCAAATGTATCCCTTTTTACTAGTTAATAGCCCAAGTAGTTTTTGTCTATATTCTTTTTTGTCACTTTCATTTCTTTTTCTCTTAAAAAATTTTTCTGCTTTTCTTTGTTTTTGTCTAAGTTGCATATATTCTCTGTCAAACCAGCAGTTTTGACTATTTTTAATCTTTTAGTTTTCAAAGGGGCATGTTTCTGCGCAATTTCTTCCATTACATGGTTATATACTGTTATTTTGTCTTTCATATTTACAGGTGATAATATTTCTAGTTTATTTCTTAATTTTTCATTGTTAAAGGACTGCATGTTCACTGTTTTTAAGTTTTTGTATGTGATGGTATAACTTTTTTTCTATTTTAAGTTTTTCTAACTTAAACTCAATGAGAAAATGGCCACTCAAATCTTAGTCTATCGCAGCTAGCATAATTACTAATATTTCATCTGGCTTATTAATTACTACATCTAGTATGTATCACATTTTATGAGTTGGTTCTTTGACTTGTTTTTAGCACATCTAGTATTTCTTTAAAGCTTTTGCTGTATAATTTTTTATTATCTAAGTATATATTTATATAACCAGCTATAACGTATGTGCAACCTGTTAATACTATTGTTTCAAGTAAATCCATGAATTCTTCCAGAAGTGTTGTGTGAGAGACAAATATTAGTCTATGAATGCAAATTAAAATTAATGATCCTTTGGCTACAGTAATTTTTACACACGTGTTCAAAGAGTAAAATTATTTATTGGGTAGTTATTTGTGCTTAATCGATTTTTTTAACATAGTTCTTACCCCGCCACCTTTTTTTTTTATCTGTACCCTGCCACCTTTTTTTTTTATCTGTACCCTGCCACCTTTTTTTTAGTCTGTATTCTGGTTAACTATATGCTCCAATGGAACATTGCTCCATTACATTAACTATAAGCTCCCTTGGAGCATTGTCCCATTACATCTGGAGGTTTATTAGTTAATACTCCATATTAATAACTATACAAATAAAACTTAACATAAATTATTTTCAATAAATCATTTTGAAATAAAAAGTTTTTTTACAAAATGTTTTAATAATTTTATTAAAGTTGTTTCCATTTTTAAATTTCAACTTAAATAAATTCTCAAGTAGTTTTTTAAGAGAAAAAAAAAGTTTTGTTAAAACTTTGAAATTTATTGAAATCTTTAAAAATTTTATATCTATTTAATTTACTCTTTGAATATTTTATATCTGTTTAATTTAGTCTTTGAACATTTTATATCTATTTAATTTAGTCTTTGAACATTTTATATCTATTTAATTTAGTCTTTGAACATTTGAACATTTAATTTAGTCAAAGTTGGTTTATTGAATCAAAGTTAGAATAGTTAAAATGTTTGTTGTGTCATTAATCTAAAAGAAAAATACATAAGTGAAACACCTGTCTGAAACATACACGTTTTTTGTGTAATATATAGATCATTTTCAGTTTTTTGAATTATTTTTTTGTCATAAAACTGATTAATAGAGCATCTAAAATGAATTTAATATATATAGTTTTTCACTTTATTCAATATTTTAAATTTCTTAGGATGTTGAATGCTAGATCTTATTCATTACATCGGTTTTGCTTGTGTCTCTGTTTTTATGACTCATTCTATTATCTCCTAAATGACGAGGCAACTCATTCTATTATCTCCTAATGAGAGTACAGCTTTAAAACTTGCTCAGACTGTTAGATAGTGTACTGAGTACTATCTGTACTTTGAGTCAAGTTCTTTGAGCAATTTAAAAAATGACTAAAGTATCAAAAACTATAAAACACAATAAACCATCGTCATCAACAAGCTCTCTAAATCAATCATTCACTAATATTCGTGGTCTTCTAAGTAACTTTTATTCTGTTAAGTCTTATCTCTTGCAAAGTTGAACAAACTTGCTCTTTGTGGTGACACCTTAAAAAAATAAAGAAATAAATAAAAACAAAAACAAAAAAATTTATCTATATATATAAGAGAGAAAAAAAAAGAAAAGTTTGTTAAACAAATAATGATGATATATATAATAATTATAGTAATTATACAAAATAATATTAAAGTAATCAATAATGTTAGGAATATTTATAATACAATATAAGTTGTATGTACACATCAATAATAATAAATAAATATAATAATAACATTAAAAGTAGCAATAATAACACGATAATAAATAAATATAAAACAGATAAATAATAAATAAAGCAAAAATCAAACCACTCGCTTGTTAAAGAAATTATATAATAAAGAAAACTACAGTACGGAGAGAAATTATAAAGAAATACACTCTAACAATATATTTTTAAATTGAATTCTGTTGAGCAGTAAATAATCCATAAAAAGGAAATATTTTTTAAAAAACTTTTATTAATGCAAGAATACACTTGTTCCAATCGGAAATACATTGTTGTTTTATGGAAAACTTTACCATATTTAATTGTGTTGAAAATAGAAGAGTATAGCTTACTATTTTCTGTATTTCTGGTGTGATATGCTTGGCATGGGCATTTACATTTGTATGAATTCACTCATTTGTTGGGAAACTAGGTTTGAATCCACAGGCTACTCTTTTGTGTGCTTTCGTTTAGCACCACTTCACTCTGTTGCCTTTCTCTTTGTTCTATATTGCTCTCCTTCATCTCAAGACTGCACTCTTTTTGATTTTCTTTCTGACCATATTGACCCAGCCTTTTCTCTTTATCCTTCAGCTAATCACACTGAATGGCTTGGTTCTAATGTCAGTGACTCTGCAGGTGTTAAGTTCTCTAACACAAATAGTCAACTTTCTAACTTGCTTTCCAGACAATTCGAATCATTTACCTTCTCTACTCGACTTGTGTCTTGTTTCTGATACTAGTCAGTGCTCCGTTTTTTCACATTCACCCTTAGGTGCTTCTGATCACGGTTTGATTTCTCTAAAACTATTATCTCATTCTTCTTCTCCATCAGAATCAACTCTTACAACTACCTTAAAGCTGACTGGGACTCTTACCATGATTTTCTTTGTGATGGCCCTTGGGTAGAAATCTTTTGTCTTCCTGCTGACAAATGTGCTTCATATGTAACTTCTTGGATTCAGGCTGACATGGTAACTTTTATTTCTTCTTGATGGTTCAAAGTCAAGCTTCACTCTTCTCCATGGTTTTCCTCTCATTGTGCTGCTGCAATTTCCAATCGTAACCATTACTTCTATATCTATCTCCAAAACAATTCTCTAGAAAACAGACGTCTGTTTACTATTGCTAGAAAGCTTTGTAAAAAAGGTTTTGTCTAATGCCAAATCCTGCTATATTAAGGTCACAAAGTCTCATATTACATTTCAAAAATAAGGTTCTAGAGACTTCTGGAGAATCTCTTACAGTGTCTATAATAAGGGCAAATCTGTTATTCCTCTTCTCTTGCGTGGTTCAGATTTTGTTACATCACCTAAAGACATAGCTAAATTGTTTACTAAGAACTTTTTATCAATCTTATCTCTTGGTTTCACTCATGACATCCTACCTGATATAGCAGATAAACAGGTTGATTCATTGATCCATCTTCTACAGCTTGTGGTACCAACAACATACCTGTTATAGTTTTGCAGAAGTGTTCTCCAGAGCTGTTGTCTATACTTTCAAAACTATTTAAAAAGTGCTTATAATTGTTTATTTAATAAGTGCTTATAATTTCTTATAATAAGTTTTCCAGCCTGCTGGAAAGCGACATCTGTTATCTCTATTTTCAAAAGTTCTGCATAGCGATCTGATGCGTCTAACTACTATCCCATTAGTCTTCTTCCTTTCATAAGCAAGGTTTTTGAGTATTTAATTAACAAACACTTAATCTCTCATCTTGAATCTAATAACTTACTTCCTGATTATTAATATGGATTTTTTTTTTTTTTTACTGCTGATTTGTTAACATTAATAACCAATAGGTTTTATCATGCATTAGATAGATGTGGAGAGGTTAAGGCCAAGCTCTCGACATTTCTAAAGCCTTTGATAAAGTTTGGCATGCTGGACTTCTCCATAAGTTCTCAGTGACTGGTGAACTTTAACTCAGATACAACTAATTTTCTTTCAGTTAATCATTATTGCAACAATCTTGATCTTCTTATATTTATGAACAGTAATATACCCAATAAGTCATCTACCCTTTGTCTTCTAGGATGTCATCTATGAGTTTATCTGTCTTCTAGGATACTTACTATACTTACCAATCTTTCTTTGGAAATATTGTTCATAAATATATATATATAAATATATATATATATATATATATATATATATATATATATATATATATATATATTGTTCATAATATTTCAGATAATTTGATAAATAGTTTGGTGAGCACTGTTTTATATTTTAGACTATAGGGTAAAACACCCAGTGTTCACCATGCGACCTAGTCTTTACCACTTAATCTTAAAATGAATCCTGTGCTTTTAATTTTAAAGATAAGATCTTCAAACTTTTGCCAATTATAAAGCAATCATCGCTTTATAATCATATAAGCAATCATCGCTTTAGGTTTAGGTTTACCAGGTGAAAGTTTAAAGATGCGACCTAGTCTTCACCACTTGATCTTTAAAATTAAAGGCACAGGATTCATTTAAAGATCAAGTAGCAAAGACTAGATCGCATGACAAACACTGAGTGTTTTACCCTAATGCAAGTTTTCAAAAATCAACCAAATATGAACTTTCAACACACCCTCCACCACACCGTCCAGTAAACTTTTATTATAACAATAATCATAATAATTAGTATTTAAATTTTGTTTATTTTATTTATATTTTTATTTAGATTACGCTACCTCACAATTAAGACAATATGATCGATTGACCAAACAAATGAAACCAAATTTAGAAACGTATCAACAAACCAAAAAAAAGATGCATGATTTTTTTTCATTAGTTAAATTAATTTTTTTTGCTATTATTTGAAAATTTTTTTTCAGATAATAATTAAAATATTCTATTAGGGGTGATTCTATATTTCCCGGAGCACACAATCTAATGTATGGTGGCAAAAATAGGCCTTCAGAAGAAGCTATTGATCGGATGGTTGGGGATCTTGAACAACAGTAAGTTTTTGATTTTTTTTCAACGTTATATAATCAAAAGAATTTATTAAAATCTCCACAGTTTTTTTTTTTTTTTTTTTTTTTTGCTTCTGTAAATATTTTCACATTGGTTTTATTTTCAATCAGAATTGCAAAGCGTTCGAAATATCATCGCAGACGTCAACACCATGAGGACGCTGATGTAGACTACATTAACGAAAAGAATATGAAATTTAATCAGAAAGCAGAACGTTACTACGGGCAGTATACCCGAGAAATTAAGGATAATCTTGAGCGTGGAACTGCTATATAAATGTATGAACGTCTGTTTGATAACATTGTTAGAAATGGTTTTTCTACCAATGATTTGATACCATTGGTAGAAAAACATTTGTTTTATAAGTAGAATACTAAAAACATTACGGACGTTATGACAGCAACCATCCGTCATTGCCAAGTAATCTTATCGATTTTAACTAAATAAGTTTTAGAATATATAAATCTAAACGAATGTGAAACCATGCAACAGGATTCAAATTGTAAAACCCATTATCACCAAATATATGCGCGAGTAGATATATATATATATATATATATATATATATATATATATATATATATATATATATATATATATATATATATATATATATATATATATATATATATATATATATATATATATATATATATACATATATATATATATAGATATATAGATATATATATATATAGATATATATATATATATATATATATATATATATATATATATATATATATATATATATATATATATATATATAGATATATATATTTATATATATATATATATATATATATATATATATATATATATATATATATATATATATATATATATATATATATATATATATATATATATATATATATATATAGATATATATATATATATATATAGATATATATAGATATATATATGTACGCGTATAACACGTTTAGGTAAAACAACGGATTCCAATTTTTATTATTTGGTAATAAATATTTAATATAATTTCTTTAAATATAAAGGAAAAAGGTAGTTGTGTTAATTTATCAAACGTCTGTCTACCAGACCCTGCATTTTTTCAAAGGATTCATGGTTGATCCCAAAGGACATTTAAACGCACTCGAAAATTCATCCAAGTTCGAATATGATCCGATTATTCTAAATAAAGAAAAATTATTGTATTGACTACTAGATATGCAGTAAAGTAGTTTCATTTTGTAATTTTTTTCTTACCTAAATTTATTAGGGCTATGATTGCTGCCGCTCAAAAATTTTCTCATGTATTGTTCTCTGTAAGTTCCACACCAAATCTGAAATTGATTTAACTGCTTAAATTAACTTTTCAATTAGTTGATACAGAAAAAAATAAACTGTAATATTATTTTAATATTTAAAATATTTTAAAGATACAATACGAACCTGGCCTTGATATACAAAAAAGAGTTGTTCTGGTGTAAAAGACAAGCCTGGTAGTTTTTTATCTTGTTGATGGTTCAACCATTCCCTGTATGCCTTTAAATAAATCAATTTTTTTATTTAATTAAAAATTTCTTTCTCGTAACTAACGCATTTGTTATCATTAACATTGTTGTTGCCAGTAATTTATTGCTGTTTTATTCGTTATGTAAGTTATTTATTGCTATATTATTTGTTACGTAAGTTATTTGTCGTCATTTACATGCTACTTTTCAGTTCTCGGTATTTAATATACATTTAAACGCATGCTTTCAAAAAAGTGTTTTTTTTTTTTTTTTTTCGGTCATCTGATTGTTCGTTTAGACTTCAAATGCATAAATTGCACAAGATACAAATATTGTTTACAATTTAGCAACAGCTTAAAATATTAAAAATCATTTACAAGTTTACCATAAAAGAGACTTTGATGCCGCCATTATCAGCTATGTTTTCGTTCAAAGTAAGCACTCCGTTTATCTAAAAGAAACAGCTGTTTCATTTCTTATATATGTATTTATGTATATTTTATATGTATATAATTATATTGGTTATTTTATATATATATATATATATATATATATATATATATATATATATATATATATATATATATATATATATATATATATATATATATATATATATACATATATACATATATACATATATACATATATACATATATATATATATATATATATATATATATATATATATATATATATATATATATATATATATATATATATATATATATATATATGAATAACTATAAAAATCTTTGCACGTCTTACAACTGGTTATTAAAAAAAGTACCGGCATTCCAAATATCGAATAATTTGAATATTGATGGTTAACACACTCGGATCTTTTTTCAAATGCATTTTGACTGGACTCGCTCCACCAGTTTCTATGCTCTCCTAACTCATCGAAAAATCTTCCTAAAATAATGCAAAACAAACATTTTTGTAAGATAACCTAAGCTAACAGCCTTTTATTAAGTTTTCTAAAACCAGGTTTTATAAACGCTTAACATCAAAAAAAATACTTTCATATATGGAACTGAATTTTAATTTTGACATTAGGTCTCCAATTTCTTAAAAAATTTAATAAAAAAGAACACTATATAAATTTCAAAAAGGGCCCTAATCATGTAAATGGGCCCCCTATATTTGTCCCCTCCCTACTGGGGGGTTTGGGTAGCCTAGCCACGGCTCTGGCGACAGGGATTCTGGAAAAGTTTTTTAATAATTTACACTTAACGAAATAAGCATATTAATACTTTCAAAAAGTAGGTCATTTTTCAAATACCTTTTTAATATATCAACAATGTTTTATAATCAAGTTACCTCTATCGTCAAAGGCGTGTGTTATTTCGTGCCCTGCAACAAGTCCCATTGCTCCGTAGTTTAAAGCCCTACAAATAACAAATATCATATATAACTACAGTAAAAAAATATTGCTTAAAATTTAAAATTCTATTATTAAATTTAAAATAATATATATTCTAATAAACATTATTTTATAAAAAAAATGTTTTATAATCTAATTACCGGAATCAATTGTAAAAATGATTAACAACAACTATAAATATGTTCAAAACCAAATAAATATGAAGAAATTTTTTGTATAAATTTTTATAAACGTTTAAAAGAACAACTAATTTTAAAAGAATCATGATGATATCTAATAATCTTTATAGATTATTAGACATCTTCTAAAAAAACTTTCTTGTGCCTAAAAATCTGTCACTAAATCCTCACCAATGATTGGTTGTTATAAGCATAATAGTTATAAATACATAATGAGTCGTCTATAAATTACGTCACGCAATTTTTGACCATTATAGACCCCCTACCTCCCTCATCACAACATCGTTACTCTTTAGTAACAAGTTCCGTATGAGTCGTCACAAAAACATTACCGCTCTTTTCTCCTTCACCCTCATGTGTGCCGTAATTTATGGACGACCCCTAATCAGAAATTTTATATTCTTATTTATAATTGTACATCTACAGTTTAAAAAACAAACTATACTTCTATCATTTAAAGAGAGTTATGAAAAAGTATTCACTCTTTACTTCTCTTATAGCATCCATATTAATTTTTTGTTCAATACAAAGTTAAATTATATCCATAGCTTAAATAAACATAAAAATGCGAACTTAAATAAACGTAAAAATGTTCATTAATAAAATATGTTTTTCAAAAGAATCAAACTCGCTAGTAGTCGTCGTTTCTCAAAAGAATCATACTCATAAACAAGTTTTTTTAATTTTTTATTTAAAGTGTAAATGTTTTTAGTGAAAAATAAATTGATATCCAATATGACTCTCATATTTCTTAAATACGAGGACCCGCATTCTTGGAACCGGTAAAAGTTTGATATTTTTAATTTTATTGTTTAAAGTCATCAAATTGAAAGCTAGCTATTAAAAAAAAAAAATGTTTAATTTAAGTTTTTATAAATAATTAAAAATTATAAAGTTATACGATTTCTAAATCAAAATATATGCTCGAAAATAAAAACTTACATTGGAACATCTGGACTGTAAAATGGTGGATGTAACAAACCAGCCATAAATGCTAAATAAAAATTTTTTAAAAATAAATTAGTTTTCTTTGAGCGAGATTTGCCGTATACAATGTAATTTGTAAGTCGAATTTTTGATAAATTTAAGGTTAAGTTTTGCTCAAGTTTAAAACACAATAAGTCTAAACGATAAACCAGCAAAATATTTGGTGTTTACTTTTTATTTTCAATAAATTTTTTTTGAATATTTCATGCATTTTGCTATACAATGCATTTACATCCAAAGAAATTGTTAGCTTATATAGGAACAGCCGCAAATAGTCGTAAAGACTAATCCAAAGTAGCGCCCATTATTGACAAACATTTTTGCGTATCGTACTACTTAAGTGCTGAGTTGGCGTTTACTGGTTTAAACTCGTATCGCACAACGGCCCGGGTTTTAACAATTCGTTTGAGGCTCAAACCAACTGAGATATCTAGCCACCAAAGTTTGGTGTATATGATAAATCGTCTACACCAAACTTGTTTGGTTGAGTGTTTGAAGAACTGGCGTAAATTTTGTTGTAAGTTTTATTCTGAAATAACAGTATTGACAAAACGAAACTTAAATTTGCAATGAGTTGTTCTAAAAGTTTAGTTTATTGCATTTCATAACTATTTCCAACATTAAAGCAAAATAAAATTATTTGAAATTCTAAACAATACAAAATGCTAAAATGGTGTAAAAAAAAAGTTTTAATAAAAGTGAAAACTAAAAATACTTAAATTTAAAATATTTATGATTTTAAAAAAGCTTTTAACTCCAAATAGATTTTTTTTTTTTAAACTTTGTAAAACTTAATAAAAAAAATTCACTTTATAATCAACCAGTTTTGCAACGTTTTTATCAGTACGTTTGACAACTGTCATAATTGTTTTAGGATAAATATTGGAGTTTGGTTTTGTTTTTGGTATTGGTTACAGCAGGTTTTTTGATGAAATTATAAATAAAAGTACAATTTTTAGTGTTTATCACTGTTATATCCAGAGCTGTGGAGTCGAAGTAGGAGTCGGAGTTGCGACATTTTTATCGGAGTCGGAGTCGGAGTCGCTAAACAAAATCGCGACTCCGACTCCTATAGTAAAATTTCCCTGTATTACACGTGCATGTACAAAACATTCAACTAACCTTATATTCATACTAAACCTGAAAAAAGAACATTTCTTAAATTTGTCAAAAAAGAAATTTTTAAATTATCGCGTAATATTTTTTTAAGAATACAAAAAGTTGCTTTGGAGTTGGAGCCGGAGTCGGAGATGGAGTCGGAGTCGGAGTTGTGCTCAAAAAATTTCAACAACTGGAGTCGGAGTCGTAACATTTTTTTTACGGCTCCGACTCCGGAGTGATATCGAATGGTTACATCTACTTAGCTGTTTCTTATTGTTTTCTTTTAAGTATATTTAATTGGGGAATCTTGTTTGTTTATTAGTTGCATAAACTTGTCACGTTTTTGCACCGAATTGAATCGAACATGGTTATCGTCAACATATCTTTAGTACGAATTTGGTGAAACATGATTTAAATCAGTAATCTCATATAATTGTAATTGTCATGTAATTGCTCTTTTTTATTCACGCGGCCTCTTATTAACTTTGATTAAGTACTTTATAAAAAAGTTGTTTAACCAATTTTATGATTCCGTTAAAAAAAATAGTTCTGAGCAAAAAGAAATTCTCTTAATGAAAAAAAACTCGTAACTTGTGTAGAAAAATATTTTAAAATTTTTTATTACGGTAATAATTACTAATTAAAATTAAAACTAACCCATTTTATTTTTTTGTTTGTTGTAAAATGCATCTGCTATGGTTGGTGGCAAATCGTAACTAAAAAATAAATAACCAATCAAATATAACCCATTAAAATAGTTTATACTTGCAAACTTTTGTTTTAAACTTGTTGACTAAGTTTTAAAAAAAACGTTGAACATAAAGCACTTACGACGATCTATCTACCGGTTGGTTAATAAGACCCAGGTTCGACAACCGCTTGTCTTTATACATTTCCAATATATTTTTAAAGTAACTCTTTTCGTTTACAACAATCTAGAAAAAATTTCAATTATATTGTTTGACAGTTTTTATAAATATTCTAATCATAAGTTACGCGCAAGTTGTTTTTTAAAAAGCGGTGTCGAAAATTATGTATTAAAGAGGAAACCAATTATCCAATAATCAATTGTAACGTAATTGAATTGTGATATTTTAAGTGGTCAAATAATATCATTGTTTTTTAAGTCACTAGTAGACGGTTCCCAAACATTGTTTTAACGAGATACAAGTTGTTAATTTTGAATCAGCATCTGTCTAATAATCAGCCGGTACCGATTATATTTATTTGTTTTTTTAACTTTTATAACTTATATTCATAATTTATTTAAATTGTAACTTTATATTTTTGAAAATATGAAACTGCAATTTGATTTTATTGTTTATGCAAACTTAAAAAAAAAAAAGCCATTTACTATAACGATTTGTGTAGTTATTTGTTTTTCTACTTTGTTTTTGTTACCATTAAAAAAAAAGTATTTGGGTCTTCTACCTAAAATGTAGGTTCACTTTTTCATTTAATTCAGATGTATTTTTTTACTCATTTTTTCTTATTGGTTTTTATATGTAAGATGAAAAAATTAACCTTGTTTAGTTCACAAAAGCACTTATTATTATTTTTTTTTTGTAGCAATCAAGCAAAAAAAGAACTTATGACATTTATTATTGTAAAAATATATATATACAGTGAGTATTATGAATATATCGAAAAGCTATATGTTAAAAAGATATATCAGTGGCAGTTTAGTACAAGCAGTTTAGTTTAGATAAAATGCAATATACTCTACAAGTATAATTGGTAATTCTACCTACTAAAAACTTGTATGAATGTGATTTATTACTGATGACGTAGATTTTGCTGCTCTGTCAAACTTGTTTTCTTACATCACTTCAAACTCTTTTCTGAGCTCTTTTTTTCAAACTCTTTTTTTTTTCTTATTCTTTTTGATGCATTATTTATTAAATAATTGTCCAATTGATGTTGCAACTTGTTTTTTCCTCACTAATCTTAAAAATGATTTTAGGATTAGTGAGGAAAAATATGTCATGGCGCAGATGTTGGAGAGCTTGCTTTAGAAAAAAGAAATCAAAAGCTCAATGCCAACTCTGGGAATATTTCGCGTTATGATAAGGAAGGAGTGTGAACTTCTTAGTTAAATGCTCTTCCACGGTGCTCTGTGGCAAGACTGTTATCCAAAGACTGTTAGCGTCTTGTCATAGAGCACCAGAATTTTCTTTAGGGCACCTAAAACAAAATTAAAAAAAAAATTTTTTTTTTTGAAAATAGTTTTTTTTTTCATTTTATTAAAGAATTTGTAGAAGTTATTAAATATCTGAGATTTTCTTTTTTTAATTATTCATATGCTAAAAATCCATAAAACATAAAAATCCATAAAACATAAACTTTTACTCTATAAATACAATTTGGTAAATTTCCGGTACCAATTTATTGCAGAAAAAAGTTGCCCATTCGCACTTCTGACGAACTCATGTTTAATGAGTTCGGAATTTTGATTGTGGTTAAACATCTTTTGGGTTTTAATGTACCATTAAAAAGACCATATTATTTATTATAGCCATCAATCATTATATTACCCCCAATGACTTATCGTATAGGTTTATCCGTTAAGTTATTGGGTTGGAATCCACCTAGGTTTGTTAGGTTATTAGGTTATGTATTACACGCCTAATATTAGGGTACTCGATGGCAAAACTAGTTTCCAGCCTTCTGCGAGCTACCTTTGACTGCATATAAGTAATTCTAACTTTTTTTATTTTTAAAACATAATTTTTAAAACAATACAATAAATACCTATTAAAATAAAAAGTGCAGTAATTTCTTTATTAATGATATTTATATATTCTTTGATTTGGAAGAATATTGAGATATATTTATCAGAGTAAATGTTTCGATTACTTTATTGTTGTAATCGATATGTTGTAATCGATATGTTGTAATCGATATGTTGTAATCGATATGTTGTAATCGATATGTTGTAATCGATATGTTGTAATCGATATGTTGTAATCGATATGTTGTAATCGATATTTCGATATCGATATTGGATATTTATCTTATTATATCTTGGAGTTGTATACTGGAATATTTATTATTTCTGGACTTTATTTTTTTGATATAGCTTTTTAACTTTTTTTTAACCAATATGTGTTGCATATATATATAGGCAATACGCGAGTATAAAAAATACAAATATGAGTAAAAAGAAACAAAAAAAATTGTATTAATTCTTTATTTATTTTTAAGTTTATATTATTAAACTTTAATCAAATATTGTATAATTTAAATATTTATTTTAAAGAGTCTGGTTAATTTGCCCCTATGTTGAGATGTTTAAGATGTCTTACTTAAAAAAAAAAAAATATTTATTTAAACAAGTTTTTACTTTGATAATTTTTGTTTCAATTTAATTGTTCAATTTACTAAGGATCCTAGCTACAATATATTTAGTGAAAAAATAAATATAAATCAAAGAAATTAAAACTACCTTTTCGTAAAGTTTGTCAACAGCTTGCTCGTTTTTGATAAACTCTGGAAAACCAACGTTACTGAGCATAAAATCAACCTATATGACCCATAAATAAAATTCCTAATTCAAATCAAAGAATAAGATAGTTCTCTCATATTTACAAATTTATTTTAATTTTAAGTCTGTTTTATTTTATTTATTTTAAGTTTTTAAGAAAATTTGTGTATTTATAAAACAACGTGAAATTGAAGCTTTTGTTTTAACCAATAAAATAAATTTAAAAAATTAAAAATATATATTAAAAATTAAAAAATATGAAAAACACTATTAGCATAAACACTATTAGTCAAACAAGCATTCGCAGGTAAAAACGCGCGTTGTTTCAGTTACCTTTTTAAAGGCTGCTGCTTTAGTGGCAACGTCCATCCAATCAGCATTTACTAAATTGTTTTTAAACTCCTTCCGAACGTTTTCGATGATTTCTGAAGCCTTAAATTATCAAAACAAGATATAGTTCTTTAATATGATAAAAAATTAGTTACCTAAGCAAATTAATTTTAAAACATTTAATTTTGTAATAGAATGGTTCTATAAAACAAGCAATATAAGTAATTATATGGAGATTAGGGGTGGTAAACGATTAACGATTAAAAATCATTAATCATTAATCGATTAATTAACAAACGATTAATCTAATAATTTTTTTTTTTTAATATAACAAAATTGCGTTATTTTGTTTCAAAGATTTTTACGAACATTTACAAGCGTTTTTTTAACGAACAAGACTTGTGTTGAATTTTATCCGGCATCTTGTCAAATATAATTATAAACAAACAAAAACAATGCTTTTTTATAGTGCGACTCCTTGACCACCCGTTTACAATGTCGTTTGGAAAAAACCGCTCTGAAGTTTGGAAACATTTTTTATTGGAAAATAAAGACAAATCAACATACAAGTGCAAACATTGTTCAATCGAACTTAAATTCCATTCATCAACTTCAAGTTTCTTGTATCATTTAGAGCACAAACATAAAATTTTTTTGACAAAAGTTCTTTCAGAGAAGTCTAAAAATATACAGCCAAGTATTGCTGCTTGTTGTAATAATATAGGTAGCAAAGCTGAAGATGCATTAGCTCGTTTAACTGCTGTTGATTGTATCCCTTTTGTAACTTTGGCCAATAGCAAAGATATTAAAAATGGCTGGAAAGCTCAAGGACTTAAAATCCCTGATGATCGACATGCTATAAAGACAATTGTTATGAACTACGCAAACTCAATGAAGTTAAAAGTTGTTCAAGAACTTCAGCATTTATTTAATTAAAATTAAAAGGTGAAAGGTTTTTAATTTCCCTTGATGAGTGGACTTCTGGTAAAACTAGAAGGTATTTATGTCTTAATGGACATTGTTCAGACAAATGTCACTATGGTCTTGGAATGATTAGAATAAAAGGTTCGTTGCTTTCAGAAAGAGCTGTTAATATTGTTATTGAAAAATTAAATAAATTTGGCTTGAATTTGATCAATGATATTTTTAGATGTGTTACTGACGGTGCATCAGTAATGAAAAAAATAGGACGAGAAATGGGAGTTACACACCAACTTTGCTACTGCCATGGAATTCATCTTGCTGTATGTGATATTCTTTATAAGAAAAAATGCTTAGAAATAGAAGCAACTCAAGAAGAAATAATTAGTGATGAGAATGAAAATGAAACGCCTGACTCCATCCCTGATGATGAAAACGACACTGAAGAATGCTGGAATGAGGAAAGTATTAGCTCTGTTTTACAGAAAATCTAGTTTAATGAGGACTATGGCATTATTATATCGAAGGTTCGTAAAATAGTCAAACATTTTAGAAAATCTCCACTTAAAAACGATTCCCTTCAAAATATTTGTAGAACAGATTTAAGAAAATAACTTATACAAATTTTGTATACTAAAACAAGATGGAATTCTCTAATAAGTATGTTAGAACGATTCTTAAAGTTAAAAAATGTTATTGCAAAGGCTCTTGCTGATATATCTAGAACAGATTTAATTTTAAAAGAAGAAGAAATAAAACACATTTCTGATAATGTTCAGGCTTTACATGTTGTAGAGTTAAGTGTTATGGAATTAGGGAAAAGAAACTGTGATCTGATAAAATCTGATAAAATTATTTTGTTTTTACAACAAAACTTTAAAGAAAAAAATACTAGCATTGGTCAAAATTTCTTTACTGTTGTCTCGGAGAGAATTGTCGAAAGAAGAAATTGTAATATTGCTGGTTTACTGTGCTTTTTAAATAACCCAGCTGACTATAAATCAGACTCAGAATTTCCAGATAATCTTTTGAAATACCCATTTTAAAATAAAATTTCTGAAACTGCTAGAGAAATACATCGTGTAGAAATACCTACGTTTATTTCTATACGAGGAAGTAGAAGCAGCATATAAGTCTGAGTTAGAGTCTACTTGTAATACAGAACGATTAAGAAAAAAACTAAAGCTGAAGAATTAGCAGAAATAATATTTAATACAACTTCAGCAACAGGAAAAACTAAACGGCTAACTTGTAAGTCTTCCCCTCAAGAAGTTTTGACTTGCATTAAACGTGAAATTGCAGTATTCGAAAGCACTGGAAACAGGCCAAGTTTTTTAGAAAGATTTATAATGCCATGCTAAGTCTTCCCCCTTCTTTTATAGAAGCAGAAAGAAGTTTTAGTGCAGCTGGTTTATTTGTTACTAATTTAAGAACTAACTTAAATGATGACACTGTTAATAATTTATGTTTTTTAAGATCATATCTGACGAAAAGAAAAATAAAATCATAAAAAATATAAATTACTTTTTATTAAGTTATAAACACATTTTTCCTAAAATTAATCGAAAATTAATCGATTAATTTTTTGAAATTTAATCGTTAATCGATTAATGTAAAATACCTATTAATTTACCGCCCCTAATGGAGATTTAAAAAAATTACACTTATCTTTAAAAATAAAAAACTTAGTTTAGTATAAGGTTTATAATAGCATTAGTTTGTTCATTATTGGGCGGACGTGTATTTCTAAGTCCTCCCTTCAGTTAGTCCTCGAAAAAAAAAGTCATACTCAAACGAGTACTCTAACCTTAAGCGTCGGAGTTAGGGTATAGTTAGTTTTTAAAAAAAAAAACACAGATGATTAGAGAATAATACTTGTTTTGCATAAGATTTATTTTTTACTGACTATAAGGTGGAGTGAGGCAAACTATAAGGTGGAGTGATGCAATAACTAAAGGTGTATCCAAATCAAGTGATAGTTCTTGTAACATTAAATTAAATTTATTTAAAGTTGAATTTAAAAAAATTTAATGGTACCGTTTTATATTGGAGAAGATAATTAGAATCATTCAAACGAGCTATCATTTTTATTATATATATTATTTATTATTATAGGTGATCATTAACAACATAAAATCGTTATCTCAAGAATCATACAAATTAGAACTTAAATGATTTTACTGAAATTCTTAAGCCCTCGGTTCTATTGTACAGAAACATTAGGAAACAAATTAAATTTTAAAGTATTAGACAAGGGAAATTTTTAAGAAACAATTAGCTTCAGATAAAAAGTTCTAAAAATACTAGATGTGGTGCATATTTGTGAGGGTAAGTATTTAGAATTACATTCTAATTCAATTACATTGAAGTTTTTTTCTTGAATTTTCTGTGGAACCCACAGTCAAAACAAAGATTTAAAATTGCCAATGAAAACCAATTCAAGTTTTTAAAACTTACAATTTAGCAGAAAATGAATTGTCGGGATATAATCTTCAAATTGACGTTTAAGTTGAATGAATAATTGAATAATGTTATATATTTATGACAGAACGTATAATTAGGAAAACCTTTAATGGACCCTAATAAACCCTATAGCTCTAAAAAGTGATTTTAAATGGATCATTTGTGGCCAAACTAACATGGCTTCTAAAAGAAGCTAAAAAACTTTAAATTGATATTCTACCCATGTAATAGAAATGAATGCTTTATAAATCAACGATGGTAACTTAAAATTTAGCAAAGATCTACTAAATTGGAAGTTTAATAATTGTTGACTTTATTTTGTTTGAGTGATAGAAAAATGCTTTTTAGTCATACAAGAATGATTAATATATGAGAAACTAACCCCGGTTTGAATAAGTGTGTTTAATCATCTGAAGACCTCGAATAATTACTTTAAAACAAGATTCAAATAGGTACACATAAATGAAAAAAGGAAACACCGTATTTTATTTGTCGGAAATACGACGTTTTAAATAACATTTAAATATATGATATAGTTTTGTTAAATGATGACGGTTATTTGCTTTGAAGAAAGGGGTGTAGTAATTGATAGAAAAGCATGAAAATTTTAAGTGCTATGCCTTTCATTACAGGAATGAAAGAAAGGTAGTGCAAAGTGATCATTTCCGTAGGAAGTTTAACCGAACATTAAACTTCCAGTCAACCTACCAAAAAAACTTGTGCCAGTAAAAAACATGCAAAATTCAAGTTAACCTGACAGTAATTAGAGAAATTGATCACTAATGAGGAAGTATATAAAGTATATGAAAATCATGTAAATAAGACCAAGGTTTAATGACGCTGCACAAGCACAAATTATTATTTTTGAATTTCTTAGTTATTTGCGCGCAAGCACAAGTTATTAGTCGATTTTTTTATTTAAAGAACTTATATTAAAGTTTGCGTTTTTTTTTTTTTTTTTTTTTTTTTTTTTTTTTTTTTTTTTGTATTGATTATTATTTATTTAAGTCGGATGAATTTGAATATTAAATAAATAACATCTGTTGTGTATAACAAAAATCTTTGTGTTTTTGTAGTTGTGCTCATGTAGTAAAAATCTTGCAGTTGTATAAGTTTTACTTTCAAAATTCAAACAATGACAATTTGCGATAATAAAACATAAGTTGTAAACTTAAACAAGACATTATTAAACATCATTATCAAATATAGGGTTCATCTTACTTTTGATTTGTCTTCCTCTTTTAACGATTTTTCTACGTACAAAGACGAAAGAGCGAAACCCATTGTTTGCTCTAAATCCATAATGCACTTTCGCCATCTTTCTGGTTGATTTTCGACTCCAGATATAGCTTTCTGAAAACTATGATCGGCTTCCAAAAAAGGTGCCGACGCATAAGAACCAAATTTCCAAACACATATCCATATAATATAATCTTTAACAATCCTGAATGTAATTGAGTTTTTTCAAAAATCATGAGATCTTTTTTATAATGTATTACATTTATTTCTAAAAACAAAAAAAGCCTACTGAGGGTTTGTCTTCGTCAAAAGATTGTTAAGCTGCTTAAAGTATTCAAAACTGCTGATAGAAACAATTGTTTCGTTACTCACTTTTACGCTAAATGGTTTAAATAAACTCGAAATAACGCGTAACCAATCAATCTGTACCATGCAACAAATAAAATAAAAAAATAAAGTTAAATTAAAACAATCATTTATAGTAAAATAGAATGTTATAAAGTAGTATAAACAGGGCTGACGCGAGTAGGTGTCACGTGGGGGGTGCCATTTGCCGACTGTCTAACCTTTATCGAAAGGGTCCAATTTGCCGACTAAGGGTCCAGTTTGCCGACTAAAAATCATTGATAGGGGGTGTCACAAACACACACCCCCCACACACACACACACACACACACCCCTATCGCGCCGGCCTTGAGTATTAACTACATAATTTTCAAACTACGCGCGCGTAACTTTTAAAACTGCGCGTTTTTACTGCATTTAAAATTTATTTTCTGCAAATAAAATATATTACTTGGTTTCCAATTGTATTTAAAAAATTCTGAATTGATGTATTGTTAGCGTCTCTTGTAATGTTGTCTTTAACGGCAGGTGATACCAATATCTTAAATTATTAATTAATTAATCATTTATAATTTTTTGTTAGTATTGAATATTTTACATAAAAAAATTTGAAACATTATAAGCAGACCTGTGCAACGTTTTTTTCAAAATTCAGCAATTCTTCTATATTTTTCTCTGCGTCTTTGTCTGGTCCAAGTAACGCCACATAATTGACGAGAAGATTTTTGTATTTCCCCAATATCTAAATTATTTTAAAAGAATATAATATTACCTCAGTTGCTTGGAAGCAACTTTCAAACTGCACTAATATTCAAAAACCCGTGTTCAAAGTACAAAAATAAAAACTCAAATTTGAAATCAAAACTTCAAATTATAAAGACATTTTATATAAAAAATTTTTTTGAATAAAAGTAACTTTTAATATATAGATGCCTTTTTATCTTCTTCTTCTTCTGACATATACATATCAGGTTCCAATGGAAGATCAGGTGGTGATATCTAATTATTAAATAGAAAAGTTAACTTTTATTTTCTTTACATAATAAATAAAAAAAAGTTAACAATGAAAAGTTTACCTCTGTAATGTGCTGCGTAGGGTTTTCGCTGTTTGAAGTGACGTAGCCTTTAAATAAAGGCGAATAAAGTTTATCATTTTCTATAGAAAATGTAAAATATTCGTGGCTTCGAATAATTATAGACGTAAGATCATTTCTATCACCTACTTCCGACCACGTCTTTATAGGAGACCAAATTCCAAAATTTGAAAGAAATTCAAGTAACGGATATTTACCTTTTTTCTCTATTGTTGTGACGTCGGTACAAGATCGATAATATTGCGCTATTTTGGATTTAAAGCCTTTACGCTTTATTGGTTTTTTTGTTAAATCTTCAACTAATACACGAAGTTCTTTGTTTTTATAAAGATTTGCCATTTTTAAAGGAAATATGCTATCTTCAGACGCTGGTAAAGGATGAGACTCGTGCCATCGACCGCATACATACTCATTAAAATCATGACACGGGTCTGCTGAAAAGTTCATCGAGTTTTTTATACTTTTTGCTATTTTTAAGCATACTGGAGTTTTGCATGTACAGGCATCATATTGATTTAATTCTTCTTCATGTGTCAAACACGACTCGTTTCCTTTTTTTGCCCGTGTAGTTGCATTTGCTTTCAATAATTTTACTGCTAAAATAGTTATAATTATTCCTGATGCAACAAGAAGCGCAGTCCCAAAAAATACAAAACATAAGGTTCTTTTTTGTTTAGCTTTATGAGCGTTGTCAGTACCACTATAGATGACTTCGTCATCTACATCTTCGTTATGTTGCACTACACACGAACCATTATATCTTGCAGCAGATTGATCTTCACTCCTCGAAGAGTTTGAAGAACTGCTGAAGTTATGTTCTTTTTTGAGGGGTTTTTTTGTTTCTGTTTTTTCAACAGGCATACTTTTGTTAAAACAAGGGTTAAAATAAACACGCATTTTCTTTTTCTTATGTAACAATATATTTATATAAGATTACGCAATTAAGTCGATTTCTCTTTGAACCACTTGGAACTAGAGCACTTTTTTTGCATTTACAAGCGTTTCTTCTCTAAAAAATTTAATAACATTATATATTTCACAAGTTACTTGAGTTTTATTTTTATTTAATTAAATTCACTTTTTTAAATTGTTTATATAAACAAGTTATAAATAAATGACCTTTGCCATTTGTGTATAACTTTAACACAAATGGCATTTCCAATTAGTGTATAGCCGGTTATTCAGGTTAACCTGTATATAATAAAGTGATTATCTAATTATTATCAATATATATATTATTATCTAATTATTATCAATTTAAGTATAAAAAACCGTTTTTATCGACAAAAAACGGTTGAACAAGCTACAACTATTCAGCATTTAAAAAGTTTCTGATAATATTATTTTATCTAATGGTGTTGTGATTTATACTCACCCGCTAAATACTTTGCAAAATCATTTTATGTTATAGCGTAAACAAAAATGATAACATGTTCTTTTTAGAGATCACTAGCTTTGTATGAGCCGGAATTTTTTTATTTGAGTCGAGATTTTTTTAAGGGACAAAAGGTTAAAAGCTGAAAAATAAAAAAAAGGTAGAAGTTCATAAAGCATAAAAAAGCTCAACAGATCGATTATTTTTTCATTACAGGAATGGAAGAAAGATAGTGCAAAGTGATTATTTTCGTAGGAAATTTAACCAAACATTAAACTTCTAGTCGACCTACCAAAAAAACTAATCAAGATAAAAAGATCCGCAGAAACCGTTTCAATTCAAAACAGACCGTAACAATTACGGGTTTTTTTTTTAAAGATTTTATTAAAACATTTGATTGCAAAAGTTCTCCCTATTTTGTCCACCTTAAAGATTACTAAGCTTATTGAGTTAGGATGTAGAAATCTCGAGAATCTACAACTAGTTATTGTTTTTCCTCTCAATTAAATGGTTTTGTTGTTATTTCATGCTTTTTTATTGAAAAAAAAGTTGATTTAGAATGTTTTCAATTTCATAAATAGAGTTATTTTTATAAATTGGCTACAAAATTGCGGGAACATTATTATATTAGTTTTAAGAATAGAATTTAGAATTTTGATTGGTTTGTTTTCAAAATTAAAAGAACTTTGATTGGTTTATTTTCAAAATTAAAAGAACTTTGATTGGTTTATTTTCAAAATTAGAAGAATTTTGATTGGTCAATTTTCAAAATTAGAAAAATTTTGATGGGTCAATTTTCAAAATTAAAAGAGTTTTGATTAGTTTATTTTTGACTTATGGAAGAATAGTATGCAAAATATCCCTTTAAAAGGAAAAAAATAGGGTTACGACAAAGGTTAAAAAAAAACTAAGAAAACGAGTCTGCGCAATTTTGGATTAGCATCCAGAAAACAACAAAAGCATTATTGTAAATTGTTGTTGAAAATATACCAAAACATATTATGTATAGTATACTAAAAAAAAATCAGTTGGTTTTGATTTTTCGGAAAATAGACAGTTGTTATTGATAATAAATCAAACTTTCATTTGAGCTGCAGAAATATTTCTGAAAACGCTGGGTTCTATTTTTATGACATAAATGCAGCACCAAAATGATGTAAAGTAAAAAAGACAAATTTGACAAAATTGGACCAAAGTTGCTTTTTTGGATTGCATTCTAAATCAAATTTGCCAACATTTTATTGCTCAATCGGGCAGAGCAATCAATAAAAATATGTATATTTCAAAATTTCTTTTCAATTTTTTTTTTTCATTTAAAAAAAAACTTTTCCTAGATCTAACGGTCTTGACAGAGAGCTTCCGGAAAAGCAAATAACTAAGAAGTGAAAAAACTATTCTTCTTAACTGAACCTCCTTCCTTACCGATGGCGCGGAATAAGTCAATGAAATCCAAACTCTTTTTTTTTGTCATTTTGTTTTGAAGATATTCGTCACGGTAAGGAAGGAGGCGTGAACTTCCTGGTTAAATACACTTCCGAAGTGCTCTGTGACAAGATCGCTAGGTCTTCTTGGGGCTCCTAAAAAGAATAAAATAAAATTAAAAAAATAAAAAAATATGCCCGCTTATAGCTCGCTTCGAGCCCTGGATCTCTAGCTTCTAAAGCAAGCGCTTTTACCACTGGGCCACGGCTATATTAGAGAATTTTATTATAAAAATGACAGTATCATTTTCGGGCCTAATCTTGCTTTGTCACACTTTAGATCGAAGTTGTTCCAAAATCGAATTTGTCCTAATTAAATTAAATCGAAGTTGTTCCAAAAGTGCATAAGCCTGCTATTATGCCAGAATTATGTCCGATTGAAAATTTTTGGTCTGAACTTAAAACATTGGTGTACAGGAAAAACTGGCAAGTTGAAAATCTGAATAAACTTAAAAATCAAGTTTTTAATAAAGAAAACTGAAATAAAACGTGTACATTGGCTGGCAACCAGCAGACACTTTTTATTTCATTTTCTTGCAACAACAGCTGCTTCAAGAATAATTTTTTAATTTAATTTTTTTTTTATTATTAATTATACTTTTTTTGTTATTATACTTTTTAAATTAACAAACTTGATTATTCCATGAAAAAATTATATAATTATTCATTTTGTCCAGTTTTTTTTAGTTTATCAAATGTTATTTAACTATTTGAAACTTAGAAAGTTTTTAATTAGTAAACTATAATTATTTATTAATTAGTAAACTATGAGTTTATTAAAGTAATAATGATTTGACCTTAAAAGCTCTTTACTATCACAAAGATATCATCAAAAAAAAGTATTGCTTACATCTTTTGATTATGGAAGTTCTCTATATAGATTTTTGTTAAGTTTTTTTTTTTTTTTTTTTCTCAAACCTCTTTTGCTTCTCATTTGTAAAATTGGTTAATAATACACTCATTGACTCTCTAAAAGCTTTTTCAACAACAACAAAATAAGTTACTATAAGTTATTACAATTTTAAAAATAAATTAACTTTTTGATAATTACATTTACTAAAGTACTTATCTGCATTAGTTTTATAATACATTCTATTTTATATTATATTCTTACTTATATTATATTCTACTACTATAAATATATTTATGCTAGTAAAAAGTTTAAAAATATTTTAGTTTATAACATTAGGCAACTAAAATTTGCTTCAGCCTTATACTTAATGTGATATTAATTTTTACGTTTTTTTAAGTACTTAGTTTAATCAGTTGATTTTTTTATTTTTGCAACTAAAACTTATTTTGTTGTTATTTTTTTATTGGAGCTAAAACTTATTTAAATTACTTTTTTATAATGGCTTCTCAGCATTGTAAATTATTAACAAGTTGTGGATGTTATATAAAAAGTATTATCAAACATAAGAATAGTATTTTGAGATGTTTATTTGGGACCAATCCACAACATTTTGGTGGTGGTAAAAATCAATAATAAAAAGATGATTAAGGATGAACAAGAAACCTTAAAAATAGCACCAATAAAAGAAACTTGTAAATCTAGTTATAGACTTCCGAAAGCTAGCGCAGAACTCCTTGAATCCAGATAAAAAAAATAAAATCTATTGGAGCCCAAAATATGACAATAGCCAATTACCGAACAAGACATTCATCCTATGTTGATTACTTTACAAAAAAATCTATTTTGTTCAGATTTTATTGCACCATTTCAATCAATAGATCTATTTGACCAATGACAAATATTTTTTGAAAGTTCTACCAAGAATTTAAAGCCTGTTTTACTTTACAACGGAAATCAACATCTTTCTATACTATAATAATGCCTCAATTAATATTGTTCCAATTAATAATGCCTTAATTGATGCCTTGATTAATCATAGTTGATTTTAATACAAAATCATCTATGATTACTGCAAATAAGATTTTTGTTTAAAGATTTTAAACTATTTGGTTTTCTTTTTTGACTAAAAAAAGAATCTACCTATAATTTTTTGAATTTATAAGAATGATCTACCTATAATTTTTTGAATTTAAAAAAAAGGATCTACCTATAATTTTTTAAACTAAAAGAAGGATCTACCGATATTTTTTTTGTGTTTTTAGGACAGCAGAAACACCGTCAAATATTTCTCAAGTATCAGATTCCGTTTAAAGTGGTTTACTGTGGACTAGAGGTAAACAAATGACGCATCTGGTCTTTAAAACAAAATGACAAAAAAAAAAAAAAAGAAAAAAAGAGTCTGGGTTTCATTTATATATATTGTTTTTAACTTTTTTTTGGGAAACTGCACTACTTCCTGGAGGAGCTGTTAGTGAAAAACATAGATGAAGCATTTACTAGGACATCCAGACTATATTTGGTGTTTGGTCTGTTAAACTTAATTGTTAATTTAATGTCTCCACTCACAAAAGGCAAAAAGAATATAATGAACTTCTGAACTTTTGAAAGTAAGTTATATTTGAAACTACACTTGAGCATGTAAATTTAACACATTTAAACTACAATTAACATTAAAGTGTAAATGTTATTTGTAGTTTGTCTATGTTAATATAATGTATATAGTTTTTTTGTTATTTGTAGTTTGTCCATGCTAATATAATGTATACAGTTTTTTTGTTATTTGTAGTTTGTACATGCTAATATAATGTATATATTTTTTTTGTTTTCTACCAGTGGGATTAGGTGAAGCACATAGTTGATGCCCTTTAAAAAAAATTAAAGTGATTTTTCGAATTAACAAAATATTTATCCAGAAACATCAAAATTTGAAATGAAAAAAAAAATTTTTTAACAAAGTTAGTTGGTTAGTGTAATCTAATTATAAAGGTTCTAAACCTTTTTGTATAAATAATTATAAAATATTTAAAAACTACTTTTTTATTAAATATGTTTTTATTAATTTATTTTCTGTTTATTAAAACTACAATAAAGAAAGTATAATACAAAACCTAGCAAAAAAAAAAGATGAAAACAAGCTGTCAAATCATCTAGTCCCATTCATGACCATAGACAACTTTTTTTAACTAGGAAAGTAGAGAGCTATAATGAGGAGGGGCGCAAGCAAAATGTCTCTTAACAATAAAACATTCAGCATTCTGTTGTAATACCTCAACTTATTCATCGAGCGATATAGCATGTTT